GCCCCATGGCTTATAGGTGGTGATTTTAACTCTATTCGTGATCCGTCTGAAGCATCCAATGGTGTTGGCATTACTAGTAGCATGTCTGATTTCAGGGAATGGATTACTCGAATGGAAGTGGTTGATCATAAGGCCACAGGACATGTTTTTACTTGGGCTAACTAGCAACAGGACAACCCTATTGCTAAGAAGCTGGATAGGCTTTTAGTTAATGTTGATTGGATTTCTGCTTTTCCTAATAGTGTTGCAGAGTTTCTTGCTCTGGATTTCCTAGATTATTGTGGTATGAAGCTCACTCCTCGAGTCTCTTCACGGAGATTTCCAAAGCCGATATATATTTTGACATGTGGGAGGTGCATGATTCTTATGGTCAAATCATCAAGGATTCATGGTTACAGAGAGTCAATGGCAAATGTTTCTTTGGAATACAGCAAACATCTAGCCAAGAAATTAAAGCGGCAATTTTTTATATGGATGGTACAAAGGCCCCTGGTCCGGATGGGTGGGATGCTGGGTTTTTCCAAAGGAACTGGGAATTAATTGGTGCAAGTATTATAGAGGGAGTTCTTCAATTTCCCAAAACCAAAACTTTTCCTAGGGTATGAACTTTGCCTCACTAACCCTTATCCCAAAAGTTCCAAATGATTATAGGCTCCATGCCTATAGACCTATACTTTGCATTATTGTATTGTATAAAATTGTAGCTAAGGTCCTAGCAAATAGGCTCAGAGCTGTTCTTCCCTCTATCATCAGTAGAAACCAGTCAGCCTTTATCCAGGGTAGGAGTATCCTAGAAAACATCTTCATGGCAGAGAGATTGTTCATAATTATAACAGAAAACAAATATAATCTAGGAGTGGAGTGAAGGTGGACTTGAAAAAGTATTTGATTTTGTGAATAGGGAGGCTTAGGTCTAAAGGATCTCGTTACCTAGAACATTGCCAGCACTACAAAGCTCATCTGGCTTCTCCTTATGCAAGATGGAAGCTTTTGGGTTGCATGGATCTATCTTTATAGGCTAAGAGGGAACTCTATCTGGGATGTTAAAGCTTCTGCTGCAGGATCTTGGATTTGGAGGCAGTTATTGGAGATTAGGCCCTGGCTGCATTATAGAATGGATGTCGATTCAGAGGGTTCTCTCACTTTGCAAGGCAATAAGATGATCTGTTTCTTTGTTTTTGTGGTTTGGAACTCTATTCGAATTTAGAAACCTGTTATTCAATGTTGGAAGGTTTTATGGGATAAATTCACTCTCCCATGCTATCGCTTGCTGACTTGGTTAATAATACTGGACAGGAATGTCACGCGAGACAAGTTGAAAGCTTGGAGCAAGATTAGTGATGATGTGTGTGTACTTATACTAGTGAATCACGTCAGCACTTATTCTGTCAGTGTGAATACTCTGCCAAATTTGTTTATGCAGTAATGAGAGACACAGTTCAGTTGCCCCCCTCATGAGTTGATATGATGCAGATGATGTGTAGGAATTAGTTGGTTGATTATGTTGCTTCAACTATTTCAATTTTCATGACAAGACAGCACTTAAAATTCCTGTTTCGTTCCCATTTTGTTTTGTCCACATTAAAAGGAACTTTCTTTTCCCCAATTTATTTTTACGAAGGGAAAGGGGTAAATGACACATTTGGTCACTGAGATTATTAAATTGTGTCATGTTTAGTCACTAGAAAAAATTAATATCAATTTTGGTCACTCGAATTACCGAAACTGGTCAAATTTAGTCACTCTCCCGTCAGTTTCCGTCCAACTCCATTAATGTAGTTGGACGGAAACTTTTGGGAGAGTGACTAAATGTGACATGTTTCAGTAATCCGAGTGACTAAATGTGACATTTTTCAATAATTCGAGTGACCGGAGTTGGATAGAGGCTACAGAAGAGTGACCAAATGTGACCTGTGTTAGTAATTCGAGTGACCAAAATTGATATTAAATTTTTCTAGTGACTAAATATGACACGATTTAGTAATCTCAGTGACCAAATGTGTCATTTACCCGAAGGGAAAGTGTTCCCTTTACTCCTTTCCCCTTTATCTACACGAAGGTTAATTCTAGATTTTCTAGATTTATGTGATCCCTTTATTGAGTTTGTTTCTTGAATCTTCAAGTACTAATTACATTATTATTTGATCATTATGAACAGGTGGCTCGTTTTATGGGTATAACTCAATGGACAAGAGATCATCATCAGATAGATATATGGTTGATGTTCTTGTTGGTAGCGTTCTTGAAGTATTCATGAATCAAGACATTTGACATTTAGGTCTATCTATTATTTTGTAATTTCTTGTCCATGATTTTGTTCATAAAGTAGCAATATCAACTAGAGTATAGGAATTAGTTGGTTGATGATGTTGCTTTATCCTCAATTTTTTGTTAGCCCTGTTCCTTAATAGTTCTATGATATATGTGTAATTGGCTCAATGATCTATAGTCTATACTAGTAGTATAATACTACTAATGGAATGCTTATTGCTACAATGAGTTAGGGAGCATATATAACATTATAAGTGCTGAAATGTATTAGTTTGTAGATCAAAGTTAATGTTGATTATTAAAAGGACAGTAAAAACTTTAAGGAACAAGTAATTTCTCCAGGTTTGAGATTAGATGCTAACCCCTAAGGAATTAGCACCATACTAACTAATCTAAGAGGCATTAGATCAAAATAATAATCCTAGGGTTAGAATTAATTAGAGGATAATTTAGTAAATATCTCTCAAACCCTAATATAAATACTAATTTTTTTTATTAAATCCTACAACCGCCTCTCATAATCTCTCCCACGTCTCTCTTCCACTCTTCCGCCTTTCTCTCTTACACACGATTTCGGCAAGGTGAAACGAAGAAGACGACAGTGGTTGGGGAAGACAATGAATCGACGCAGAGGAAAAAAGAAGAAAACGGCCCTCACCAGGCGAGTGCAACCGATGGTCAGTGGGGGAGAAATGAAGAATACGACGCTTGCAGAGGCGATTGCAGCCGATGACGAAGGAGAATCGAAGACGACGACGCTTGTAGAGGCGTTTGCTCGAAAGAAGGAGAAGCCAAAGACACAAGATTGCAGAGACTGCGATCACTGGGGGAGATCTGGATCGCGTATGTCGTGCTTGCCTGCAGGCGATATGGCCTGAACCATTCGGCTTGAATCGGTGTTCCCTTCACTGAAGAACAGATCAAAGAAGTCTTATTTGAAATGAATGGTGATAAAAGCCCGGGTCCAGATGGTTTCACGGCTGCCTTCTTCCAGCATGTTTGGCCTCTAATTGGTCACGAGGTAACTTTTGCAATTCAATATTGCTTTGAACAAAATTGTATTCCTAGAGCAGTTAATGCTACAATTCTTGCCTTAATTCCAAAAGTCCCAAACCCATATGAAATGAAGAATTTTAGACCCATCTCGTGCTGCAATATACTCTACAAATGCATATCTAAGTTGATAGCAAAAAGATTTAGTGCTTTTTTTCCCTTCTTAATTAGTAAGAATCAAACTGCATTTGTGAAGGGTCGGCTTATTGGTGAAAATATTCTCCTTGCTCATGAGCTGGTTGCTAAGTATTCTAAACAGAAAATCTCCCCAAGATGTGCTATCAAAATAGACCTCATGAAAGCATTTGATTCAGTGGATTAGAATTTTATTTTCCAAGTTTTAAAGAGTATGGGGTTCCCTGAACGTTTTGTATCCTCGATAAAAATGAGTGTGGGTACTCCTATGCTTAGTGTCAGTTTTAATGGAGGACTGGTTGGTTATTTTAAGGCTAGTAAGGGTTTCAGGGAAGGGGATTCTCTCTCCCCCTATCTGTTTTCTGTTGCTATGAAAATTTTCACGTGTCTGCTGGATAGGTATGCTAATGAAGGGCATTTCCCATTCCACGCACAATGCAAAAAAATCAAACTCACCCATCTTTGTTTTGCGGATGACCTCTTGGTCTTTTCTGATGCTTCAAACTGTGGGATTATAGAACTTCAGAGGGTTCTCAACCAGTTTCGAAGAGTCTCAGGTCTTAAATAAAATCCAAGTAAATGTGAGGTGTTTTTTGCTGGGTTAGATAGGGAGGAGAAAGGTATAAGGGCTTCCAGATATGGCTACTAGCTTGGTGATTTCCCAGTGCGTTATTTGGGGGTTCCTCTCATTTCAGGCAAACTGAGTCTTGGTGTTTGCAAGCCTCTCATTGACAAACTGGTAGCAAAAGTAAGAAGTTGGCAAGCAAAAACTTTGTCTTATGCAGGCAGAATTGAACTAGTAGGAACTGTCTTGTACAGTTTGACACAATTCTGGATGTCAGTGTTCTTGCTCCATAAAGTCATTATTAAAGAGATTGAACAGATTTGTAGTCGATTCATATGGGGGGTTGGGACTGGAACAAAGTTGAGAGCTAACATGGTCTGGCAGAAGCTTACTTTTCCAAAGAAAGAGGGGGGTTTGGGACTTAGGGATATGAGCAGTTGGAATGTAGCTTGTATGGTAAGGCTTATCTAGCTTATATTTTTGAAAGAAGACTCGCTATGGGTAGCTTGGATCTATGCTTATAAACTCAAGGAGCATAGCTTCTGGGATTACACTTGTAGCACTGGCTCTTGGAACTGGAAGAAGGTTATAAAGATCAGATCTAGAGTGATCAATTTGTTTTCTCTGGACAGTGATGAAGTTCTGTTTAATGGTGACCAATGCTTTCTTTTTCGATTAAGAAGGTATGGGAAGTATTAAGGCCTACTTAGCAGAAAGTTCCCTGGTGGAAACTTGTGTGGAAAGTGCAGGTGATTCCAAGAAACAGAGTCATTTCCTGGCTGATTGTTAAAGGCAGCATTAATACTAGGAGGAAGATGCTAAAGTGGGGTTATCAGGGTCCTATGAATTGTTGCCTCTGTGATGCAGGTATGGAGGATAGAGATCATCTGTTTACTGATTGTTGTTATTCGAAGTTTCTGTATGATGGCCTTCTTAGTAGAGCATTGAAGATCTCTCTTAGACCCGGGTGGGAAGCTGCAATGATACAATGGACTGCTAAACTTTCTGCTTCTACTGATATTGCTCAAGTGGGGCGAATGATCTGGCAGTCTTGGCTAAGCCACCTATGGAGAGAACGATGTAGCAGGATGTATGCTGGAGTAAAGCACGAAGCTGGGGTGCTGCTTAAGGTAATAAAATCTGAAGTGGAGCTAGCAGTAGGGAGACAGAGAATCCTAGGTTTCTGGAATTCTTGATTGGCTTTGAGTTCTGAGTAGGTAGAGGCTTTAGTTTTACAATAGGTTTCCAGGTTTCTTGGTTGTAGTAATCAACATACTATAGGCCTAGCTAGTAAGGCTATTGCTAGCAACACTTTTTTTATTAAATGCTAATCCAACGACTCATAAAAAAAATTTTAATTTTACTTTATTTATTAAATTAATTTCTCAAAATACCAAATATACCCCTCATTAATCCCCACCATCAGATTTACTTAAAACTATGAATGGTGATTAAAATGGTTAGTATGGTGCTCACCCCTATGAAGTTAACACTCTAACTGCTCCCAATTTCTTCTTGTTAACATATAATGATGGAGTTTATTTCGTCAATATGTCCATTTTACTACGACTATATATTGACTATTGTGCCACTCTTTATCGAAGAGAATGGCATCGTAATTGCTCAAAGAACTTTTCGTAAATGAGTGGCTAACAATGACCAAAAATTCACCCTCATTAAAAGCTACAACGGGCGACCATGTTATCCACTCGTTAAAACTTTTAGCGGCAAAGCCTATAACAAGGAGATTCTACCCCTCGCTAATGACAAATAACATAATATAAGCAAATTAGTCATTTCATATAACGATATAATATAAGCAAATTAACATTGGCATCCACATAAAAATTCAAGAATTCATGTTTTAAAAACCAAAATTTTGAAAGTTGAAACACCAAAAAGTTGAAAGCAACAAAAAATTTCCTTCTTTCTTTTCACCCAAAATTGGAAAATTCGGCCCCACGGTGGGCGATTGAGTTATTTATTCTAAGGAAAAAAATTTGGAAAACACCAACATTTTCCTCCTTTCTCTTGCCATAAAATACAAACATTCAAGTTTCCCTCTTCTTTCGCTTCCAAAAAAAATCAAAACATCAAACTTCCCCCTTCTTTCATTTTCCTAAAATTTGAAACACGCAAATTTCCCACATACTTTTCTTTTTATTAACTAGCTTTGATCCCTGCCATTGGCTGGGTGAGTTTACAATATTTGAACTGAGTCTCACCCAAAAATACTCAAAATGACTTATATTATGCAATATATACTACAAATTGCTAGTGCATAAGAAATATAACTCAATTTATTTTTAAATTCTTTGTTCGCAGTTTTTTTTTTTTTTGTTATAATTAATACTGTGTCAATTGTATACAATTGAAATATGAAATATATACAACAGCACTTATTTTAGATGGTAAGTGGTAACAAACATATAACTGCGATCAATGTAGTTAAAAGCTAGTTTCTACGTAGAAACGTTTTGGTGATCTAGAAGCGTAATATCGTAAGTTTTTAAGTTTTAAAGTGTATTTTTTTAACTACATAAGTTATTATAATTGAGATTTTTTGTAGAAACGTTTTAGTGACATAGAAACGTAAAAGAAAACATGCAAAGGAAAAAAGTGAAAGAAAATTGACGGTTCAATGAAATTGCAAAAAAAAAAGGAAAACAGAAACTAGAAAATTGGGGGAAGAGTTCATGGAGATATATTTTCTTGGTTGGGTTTTTTGTTAAAAAGAATTTGATTGGTTGATAGATTATGCTGACGTGGATGAATGAGGGAACGGGAAATTTGAATTTGTGAAGTCCTTAATGGGAAATCCTTTAATATATTGTTTAGATCAAAAGCCCCAAAATTTCCACTAATTTCCCTCTTATTTCTCTTACCAAAAAGTTAAAAATACCAAAATCTCTCCCTTCTTTTAAAATAATCAAAGTATCAAATACATTACTTTACTATATTTATATTTAATTGTTAAATTTGTTGAATAGTTAAATTGACCATAATTTTGATTTGTATTACTATACTAATGTTATACGTTGTCTCAATTTTTAATTATTCATTATTAATATTGACATTGTGCTAATTTTATATTTCTTATTTACTATTTTGTAATTCTGTTAAAGAAATTGGATGCATAGGCCAAACTGGATCTGATTGTGGGAATCTCCGATCACTCCCAAATTGAAGGTCTTTCTTTGGCAACTCTTCCACCTGATCCTCCCAATGATGGTAGTCCTCATTCGAGAAGGAAGTCCAGGTGCTTCCCAGGTGTCCAGTGTTTTGGGCGGAGTCGAAAACTATGGAACATGTATTTCTAGATTGCCCGATGGCAATAGCTATATGGGATCATTCGGGGCTTGAGCATCTTGGGAAGGGTCTACATCGTCATACTTTCTCGTTGTTCCTGAAAAGTTGATGGCTCTGTTACATCAACCTCATCAAATTATTGTCGTTGTCGCTGTCCTGTGGTGTATCTGGCGGTCACGAAATTGGATTTTCTTTGAGGGCAAGCAATCTGGCGTCCCAGCGTTGATGCGCCAGTACCATGAATGCCCATCCCACTATGGGAGGGGATAACTTGACGTTGCTAATCCTAATTCAGTTATCTTTATGTGGGATGGGGCGACAAAGAATGGATCTCACTCGGGGGGAGGGGTGGTGGTTATCAAGAACCAAGAGGGGAGGGTCATTTTGGTAAGGGGAGTTAAATTTGATACGATTGATGATCCTATGATGGTCGAGCTCCTGGTTCTCCGAGAGGCTAAGGTTGAAAGGTGAAGCCAAAGTGATTGTTCACAAAATCCACAAGCTAATGGCCGTGATTATCGGGCTGGTGCCATCTTTGAAGAATCTTGCATAATTTGGTTGTTCATACTGGGCTTAAGGCCCTTTCTTTGATTTTCTAGGTCTGAATAGCAATAGGGTAGTACATTTGGTGGCTTGTAAGGTCCTTTCTTTGATTTTGTGGCCTGGTTAAATTCCAGGATGTAATTATCTCCTTTTCAATCAATATAATGATTACCTTTTTGTAAAAAAAATTGTTAAAGAAATTTTTGTTTCAGTGAACTTCATGTTTTAAATAGTTGTAATTAAAAAAACAAAATTTCAAGTAAATTTCTGATTTTGAACTTCCCTTTACGAATTGAAAAAAAGGTTTTACTCAGGTTTAGAACAAAAATAATTATTTTGAAAGACTATATATTATATAATAGTTTAATTATTTTAGGTCAATCGGGCATGTTCAGGTTAGTTGGGTTCTGTCAAACGATGTAACCACCCAAGCCAGCTATAAATAGCTAGAGCCACCTATTATTGAGGCATCTTTGACGAATTGAGACTCTATTAGCTACTTTCCCTTTCTTCCGCTTTAGCTGGTAGCTTTGTAGAACTTCTCTACACGTTTCCATCTCTTCTCCTTCTCTGTTCTTCCTCCATTCTTCCATTTTTTCGCCAGATTCATCAATAAAGGTCCTTACAAGTGGTATTGCCTCGTTCTAACTATAGCATCCCAATCAAAGGCCAAGTATAACCGCCGACCGGGTATAGCATAGGGCAAGCAAGCAATAAGAATTTATCGCACCACGGGGATTTAGGCTTACCCTATTTCAGGTTTAGGGTTCATTATCTAGCCAACCTAGGATGTTGATTAGAAGAATTAAACTAACTAACCTAGCTATTTACAAGGTTGTGAGCTCTCTTGCGTTGAATCGTCCTAGGTCCGTCCTTTGGATCGATGTTGGGTATCCTCCTAGCTGGATCGACTCAAATACACTACCGCTTGGAGATGGACTCCCTCGGGAATGACCCAGAACAGCGAATCAATGGATGGGTAGCGCTCTATTCAACCTAGGGTATCGTATATTGCTAGGAGACCGGTCGAATCAACTCCCTCGGTGACTAACCAGAAAATATACGATAGTAGTGACCCGAAGACGCCAAGGAAGGGGCTCTAAGGGGATTGTCCCACTCCTAGGTCAAAAGATCAAAGCATGAAAATGGAAACCACACGCATGCCATTCAAGAAAACATCCATCAATTAAGTAAAATCAACAATCAAACTAGGGATTTTGTCACATAGATCAACAACAAACTCAAAACTAGACCCAGGGTTCTTAAACCAAGAGAAGAGGGTGAGTTTCTAGAGAAGAAGAGAGGGATTACAAATTTGAGCTCAAGATCTTCTTCTTCTAGGCTTGAATCATTGTCTTCAATATCAATCCAAGCCTCCAATCAAACTCCAAGATCACTCTAGCACTCTCTTTCTCTCACTAGATCTCCCCTTTTGGTGTTTTAGGCAAACCCTAGAGAGGGAATTGAATTTCTCTCCTAAAACCAGCTCTCCCTTGTTCTCTCTCCCCGCTACTGTCTTCATATTTGCCCGAAAGTTAACAGTTCACGACCGCGTTGGCCAGTTCACTGCCGTGAACATCTAAACGCGTCCGTGAACTCAGTGTCGTCTCCAAAAACGCACCGATTCACTCTCCTGGGTTCACGGTTTGTGCTCAATCTTCACGGTCTTGTTGACCGTGAACTCGTCTCGCGGTAGCAACTACGAATTTCTCCCTAGACGCCTCGATTTCAAGGTTTGTGGCTCCAGTTCACGGTCTTAGAGACCGTGAACTCCAATGCCAAGCCGTGAACTGCAGCTGCTTCATGGACGCCTGTGCTTCACTGTTACGGGGCAATTGTCACAGACTTCGGACTTTTCTTCGGTTTTTTGCGCTTTTTGACCTCCAATTATCCTGAAACTCGTCCTCGACCCTTCCACACGTGCTAGGACCTGAAATGTATCAAAACAAACACAACCTAGCGTGAAATATATGGAGTAACGATGATCTACAAAGCTAAACGAATAAGAAATGAGGGGTAAACTGTGTACATTTGGGCCCGAATCAGGTATGAGAGACCTGTAATCTGGCAATGGAGACCAACACCACACGAATCCTTGTTTTGGAAACTCAAATGGCGGCCATCAATCAACAGCTGGACTCACGGCACCGGGACCTGAAGATCGCCTTTGTTGCTCTCACGGCATCGATGAATGCCAACATCGACACCCTAACTGCTTCTATGACTCACCTTCGCGACACTTCTCCGATAAGATCTCCGCCGCTCGTCACTAACATCCATTTCGCCAATCACCAGCACTTCCATCCTCTACCGCGTCGTTCATCGGTTATGGTTCACTATCCTCGCCCCGACCTCACCTATTTTTCTGGATCTGATCCTCATGTGTGGGCGAGCAACTGCTCCAAGCTCTTTTTGTTGTATCCGATTATGGAGAAGCAGTAAATCGAATTCGTTTTGCACTATCTGGAAGGGCGAGCTTGAGCATGGTTTGAGGGGTGGTCTTTCCGGCGATTTCGGTTGATTTGGGGGCAATTCGTCGACGAGCTGATCAGTCGATTTGGGCATCACGAACAACTGAATATTGTAGTTGTGTTCTATCAATCCCGGCAAACGAATTATGTTTCTCGCTTCGCGTCGGATGGTTGCCACAGGGATCGAGGTTTCCTTCCGCTACCTATTCAACGCAATGCGGAGCTGGGGGCTTCCCATCCACATGCACTTCCAGGTATCGATCGACCAACCCTTCCTAAATCGGACATTCCTTTTTTCCTCGGCAATGACCCGGCGGAATGGGTTATGTTGTGTGGGAATGGTGAGACAAGTGCCACCACAATCCACAATCTTGCACTGAACTCATCTCTCGTAATGGGCTCGGAAACAGTTTCTTCCACTGTTGATATTAGCGTTTGGAATTCAGGCTCTTCGTTGCAAGTCCCGTGGCTAACGAGGGTAGTTCAAATATGCAAGCATCGAAGTCGTCTCAAGGGCCTCTGCACGCAAGTTTTGGGGTTCCCCATCTCACTAAAAGCACGCCTTGTATTTGCAGTGGCGTGTTTGATTCCTCTGCTGGTAATCTTAATCAGAAGATGATTTCTGTCATTTTTAGTGATCCTTGTCCTGCTGAGTTTGTGTTTGGGATCTTTCCTTACCCTATCGAGTCCGGCTATGTCAATTGGGGTTACGAGTTTCGCGTCTTCCCAAATTTCTATGGCATCTTTAGGCATTTCCATGGCAGTAGGATTCATACTGATTTGAAAGTCCTTATAAAGATTGTGAACTTCCCTGGTAAGCATGGATAGGCTCCTCACTTCTGCAACATCGACGGAGGAGGGGAAGACAGTTACAACTACATCTCCAACTTGGTGGTCTCAAAGTCAACTCGGCGTCAGGAGATAGCAATTAATAATGCAATTCACAGCTGAAACGACCAAGTTTAATGATGTGGAACATCTGACCGTTGACATGAATATAAATAACAAACTTGCACAACAACGATTTTTTTTTTTCATTCACTACTCCTCTAGAGGGCATCTGCAGATTTGGGACATGTTATCACCATCTTCTGTTAATGCTACTGCTTTCTGGGTGTTATGGACACACTGGATTCCATCGGCTGCTACATGGGAAGATTGTCCATCTTCAAGCTGTAGTTTCCCTCCTCTCCAGTCCTAAGAACAACTTGAGGACAACCTGTGTTTGAAGGAGACGGGTTTTATAACAACCCAAACGAACTATAAATAGCTAGAGCCACCTGTTATTGAGGCATCTTTGACGAATTGAGACTCTATTAGCTACTTTTCCTCTCTTCCGCTTTAGCTGTAGCTTTGAAGAACTTCTCTGCACTTTTCCATCTCTTCTCCTTCTCTGTTCTTCCTCCATTCTTTCATTCTTTCGCAAAATTCATCCAAAATGGTCCTCACAAATGAAGTGTATGTACAATTCGATTTCTGCTTAAACTAACCGAACTCGAAACCCATTAGGACTTGAGAGTGTTTTTGTTTTCGTTTAAAAACTGAATCCTGTACCAATAAGGAGAGTTTTGTTTTTCGGAATTGTCAGCCAACCGAAACTCTCCTTTGCGGTTTCAGGTTTGGTTTTTTGGGGAATACCTAATTTGGTTTTCATTAACCGCAAAAAATGAATTAGTGATCCAAATGGCATGGATTGATTTCTTTGGCAAAAAAAAAAAATTGGTATGTATTGATTTAACTGGAAGACAGTTTTCGTTTTGAAGGTTGTAGATTAGGTTCCCATATTATTGCAGCAGCCCCCTTTATAGAAATCAATCCATCAAGATCTGACAATTAAAGATGGAGAAGAATTTGCTAAAATAGGTAGGTGCTGCTTGTTCAGTGATACCATTACGGTACATCCCCAGGGAGCTTGTTCAGTAAGAAGCATTAGAATAAGAGCAAAACATATCAGCACACTAATTATGTTTTCTTCTTTCACATTGTTGCCTGCTTGCTATACCCGGCGATGGATAAATGGAGTCACATCTCCGCAACGTAAATATATACAGAAGAAGAGTACAATATGTTCAACTCCATCCGCATAATTGTGTATCTCACCTGAACTAACGAAAATCTAACACAATGCCACAGCAGACCAGTTAGTTGAAACTCGGGCTGATTTAAAGGAACTCTCAACTCAATCAAAATCCACCGTGCCACCCCTGGTGTAACAAATCATCATATGCAGAGATGGACATAAAGAGATGGGCGGTGGCGGCGCTTGTTCTAGCCGTTCTTTCCGTTCAAGTTACAACAAGAGCCCAGAGCAAATCTAAACACTTCGCCCACCGAAGTGTTTCATGATTCATTCTCAGTATGACCAAAAGTCTACCAGCTCTATACTATTAGAGGGCTGAGACCATCGCCTTCCCATCCAAGCTTCAGCATCTGATCCACCACTTTCAGGCTCAACTGCAAACAGTTAGAAAGACGAGGTAAATAAAATGAGGCTTCAAGGTCATATCTAAAGATTCGTCATTACGCCAATGAATCATCCAAAGCATTTACAGTTTTCTTAGTATCTCCTTGAAAAGCATCACATTCATACCTTATTTTCAACCTCTACCATAACTAAGGGTTTCTTGGTCACTATCAGCAACTGGAACACCCATGTATTTGTCGAATAACATTCTCAACCCAATCACAATTTGAAGAGAGGGATACCAGTTCATAAAAAAAAACTATGATGTGAAGAGAATGATAGCAGTTCATGGGAAGTACTAGATTTCATCTGAAGGGAAAGAGTATAGCCACAGTAAGCACAAATCAAAAACACCCAAATGTTCATTCTTCATGGGATGCATAGTTTGCCACAGAATTATTGCAGCAGTAACATTGGATGCAAGCTAAGTGATTCGTCAGAAGGGCAGAATCAAGAGTTCCTCAACTAACATAAGCAAATTCCTAAGAGCAGAATCATTGTCCAGATAAAAGGAAGTATAGAGAGCTAGAAGGAGACGGAAAAGGAAAATGAAAGAGGCTGAACGATAGTTTCCACAGGTTAATTTCAAGAGGTTGCCGAACCTTGGCCTCCACGATAACAAATAAATAACTCACAAAATCCACAGACTATAACTTCAGTTCAACTTACAGTTGGATCAGTGAAGATTATCAACTGTTTATCTGCAGTTGACACTACAAGATTTGTGTTATCATCGCTCATAGCCAGAGCAGTGATGTCCTGGCCTTCCCCTAGCTTTAATACATGGAACACCTGCATTGCAAAGTGTTGCTCAACTATCAGATACATGCACATAACTTTGAATGAGAGACAAGTGGGCCGTTTAGAGCAAGATAACCAATCAGTGGCTCTACGGCACTTAAATGCATCAAGAAAGAAAAGAGAGAAAATGCTTCTAACATGGTCAAACAGGACAAAATTCTGTAGTTCTCCCTGTTACAGAAATAGTAAGGTTTCTTTGGTCCAGAAGTGGGATTTCAAAGTATGCAAACAAAAATTTCAGTAACAGCCAAAAGGATGATGAACAAGTAAAAAGAATATGAGTGATTTATATTACCTTTAGTGTGTGCAGATTGATGAAACAAATCGATGGGGATGGAACATCCAGTTTGTTTGTTTCTCGATTTTCATCTGATTCTGGATCAAACTCTTCAGATCCCTGTGTCCATATCCTCAAATCCTTATTGACATTAGGTGTTTGATTAGGTTCCCCACTAGAGTTCATTCCAACCAAAGCATTCCTCCCATCCACTGAAATCTCAATGCAACTGACATTTCCAGACAAAGGGAGCTGTGCTCTCGCAATCGGTACCCCGTTGACACTAAAAGTAGTTAGATACCCTTGGCTTTTGTTCCAAATAACTATAATCCCCTCAGGGGAAAGGCAAACGGCATGAGCCTCCACCCCAACCAGTCTCCGAATCAAACGGCCCCTCCTGATGGAATGCAACAAAAGATCTGACGACTCAGAGCAGGAGACAACAATCCCAAGATCCGAGCTAACTGAACAACATAGAATTTCTCGGTGGTGACCACGAAGTACGTGTATTGGACCCTCAATACGAGGCTGCCTGTTTTTGTCGGCTGAGGTGTTACTGCCAGTGGATGTTGTGCTGTTTGTGGTTTGATGATCTGTCATGCTGCCCGAACGTGAGGCATATGCCCTGTGTATCTTCCAGAGTAAGACTGTCGTGTCCCGTGATCCTGTAACAAGATAACTGCTGTCCGGTGAAAGAGCAAGACAAGTGACTGGACCACAATGCCCAATTGCTGTTTCTAAGGTTTTTGCTCCATCTGAGGATATCAGTTTTATGCTGTTATCTGTATGCCCACCTGAATCAAGAAAAGAAACATTATGTAAACAACCAACCTAAAATAAGATGTGAAATTAAATGAAGTACGCAGACGATACGAAACTGACACCAAGAAGTACAATTCCTAGAAACAAAAGTGGTGGAAGATAGATGAAGTTTTAAGTAGCACAAGGCCTCCTCAATCTATGCCAAAAAGCAAATAAGGACAAAATGCTCTCCTCTTTTACCAACTTCAAAATAAATAACTACATCTTTGAATATAATGAAATATCACCAGTTATAACTTCGTTGTCATTTGTGATGGCAACCACCGCAGTGCTTCTAATCCCGGAAGAAGGAAATGCCAAGGCACGGGGAAATTGCAAATCATCACCAGAACCAGCAGGCCCTTTAAACATCCTCATGAATGCCCCACCAGCTGAATTTGCAGAGGTTTTCCCATGTTCAAACAGGAAAGGTGATCCTTGGCCATCAGGAGTGTTGGGCTGCCACTTGTGCTCTGCAACATGTGCTGCCGGTGCTTTTATATCGACGATTACAACTCTATCAGAAGATGCACGAATAGCTGCAGCAGGTAGATTGCACCGCTCAGGGGCTGGAATGGGGTATGGCTTGACTTCTTTTGGGTTCCTAAAAATGGTCTGACAAGAAAAAAGAAATTGAAGTCGTGAAATGAGACTTGCTCAGAAATCATAAACATATGATAAGATGTTAAATAATGAATTAGTAGTTAACACTCAACAAGAGTTTGCTTAAAGCAAACTTCAACTACTTATATTATGGTGAACATCAGGTCTTAAAAGAATTCAATCCTAAAGTGAGATTGACTGATTGAGTGGTGTATCATTTTCGAAGGCGAATACTGGAGAGATTTTGAAGGGTTCGACATTTTCCTATACTAGTTTTGCCTTAGCAAAAGCTAGTACATCATTTACCTGTGAATATTAGAACAGCAATGAGAGGTCAAAACACATCGACATCTTTGTAATCGAAAAGAGAATCAAAATGGTACCAGAAGAACTGGATTTGACAGCTAGGGCAAAGCATGAGAGATCAAGGAACTGCTACTACCTAAACAAACAACACTTAACTGAAGTGGAGCAAGAATGCAATTGTAAGCCTAAACTTAAAACAAGCGATGCTCAGAAGAAAAAGAACACGTGCAACACCACAGAACAGAGTTTTAGCCAACACAGACCTGCAAATGAAGAACATCTGATAATGGCATCCTTTTCAAGTGAGGAACAGTGAGAAGTTGGGATGGAGTTTGTCCAAAGTAAGCAATCTGGTCTTGAGTAGCACGTTGTTGTACCTTTTGTTGATACAAAAAAGAAAACAAGACTAAGGAAACCAAACATATTGTAGCAGAGAAAGTTTGTGATAAACTCAACTTACTGGATCTGAGATCTTATCAATATCAACAGTCCCTTCATACGTAATGTAAAAGAAGACATTATTTGCTCCTATAGCTTCTTTTCCTCGTTGCTTATAACTGCAGGAACCAAATTTCTCAGAGCGCAAAGAATCAAAAGATTTATTCTAAAAGGAGCATCTGACTACATTAAAATTCTAAGACAATAATTAGCAAGAGCTAACCCAAAGATGAGATCAATCCATTCATGCAAGTGTGCAGACACATGTTCACTCTCAAGAGCCATCCGGTGCTTATTTATGAAGTCAAGTGGGTTTTCAGCCCAGGGAGGTAGTTTAACTGAATCTGAAACAGTTAATATCAACAAAGACAAATTTATTGCCTCCACTTGAAAGCATGTTTAACCATATACATTCATAATTCAACGAAGACTTACCTAACTTCCCTCCTAGCTGTGTTGTTCCAAAATCAATAGAATTTTCGTTGGTCAACATCTCTGGAAGATAATACAACTCTGGGACCTAAGAAGAGAGCAACCACCAGTCGACCACCACAAAAACAAAACAGAAGTGCGTGAATAGAGAAGCTTATTTACTTGATATAAAGATAACAGCTGCTGAAGGAAGAAATAGATGCCGAAGTGATCTTCATTTCCTTTTCGCTGGCATTCTATTTCATTAATGATTTAAACGCGCAACCTAATATGTTGGAGAATTCAAGGCCAAATGACTGACGATTAATATTAGATGTTAGGTTTATCCTCGTCACAGATACATACCAATTCCTTTACATCACTCATATCCTCAAGAACCCCATTCCATGTAGAAGCGATATCCAAAAACATCCTATCAGCATGATCGAATTTTCCACCTTGCAGTTGGATTGAGAGGGTTGTGAAAGGCTCGATTCTGACAAGATAGTATAACACCTGCAGCCACCAAGAGGAATTCTAGGTATTACACGAGTGACTTTAAGGAAAAACTAAAATGTAAACGTTATACAAGCTTACAAATGAGGATGTTAAGTATCACCAAAAACTTTGAATTTTCCACATTATCTTCAATTTTCAGTTTGTTTCAACATCTCAAAGAAGATCACGGCAAAAGAAAAGACAGATATCTTCTACCAAAAAAAAAAACCTTGCCATGGGATTATTAACAGTTGGCCAAAGCCAAAAAAGGATACCAAGTCTAAACACAAAGAAAAACAGATGAAATAGATCATCAACAGTCATGTGAACATTCGATCGTTCTTCAGGTAAGACACCTATCTGAAGGTTGAAAATTAAAGAACTTGCTAAGACCTGAAACCTCACAACATTGTACCAAGCTTAGACATTCCAATACAACTGGAATTGGAAGATCTAAAACGTATGCAGACTGGAACCACAATCAAAAGACTATGCCGTTCATTCAAGCAAGACTTTATTAGCATGGTATTGAGTGACCCAAAGGAATTGGAACACTACTTTAGTTTTCAGGTCGCTCTACTAACCCATAAGAAACATTCACATTATCTTCCAGAGGCTTACTTTTTCAGTTTCCCAAAATTTACATCAGAATGACAGGGAAGTAACTTTGAAGGAGCAACCAGTAGCTTAGTAGAGCACGTGCAGGGCAAAAGTGCAATAAATGCGTATTTTTAGTGAGCGTTTATTTGTAGCAGGTAGAACTCAAGACCAAAGCAAGCAGAAAACTTACGGTTCCGGCACTTGAGTAGTGAGAACCATAATGGAACTTTGGGATTACTGGATCGTCAAAGCTAGAATATCTCTCTTGGAATTTTTTCAATCGGTCAAGATTCAATGCGCCAACTGGCTGCAAGAAGGTATTGGGCTGTAATGACAATCGACATAGAGGAAATATGCAGCCAAAACTCAGGACAAAGCAAAAAGTAGCAAGCACCTTAGAAAGATCTCTGTACGAAGAAGGATTAGAAAGATCCAAACTGTTCGAAGTGTAATCAGACAGAATCCATGGAAACACAGGATACTGCAAGGTAACAAAATAAGATGAGGATTTGGGTGAATTCACTTAAGGAATATGCAGATACAAAGGATACTCACCTGAGTGATGTCATTGTAACTACGCCCAGCCAATGTATTCAACTGCATCAAGTACTCAAAATTGCTGATCTGCATGGTCATAACTAGCCGTTAATTTGGGAGAGTTTCTAGGTAATGCATGAATCTATTGTCCAAATCACCATATATCAAGTTGGATTTTAATTTTTCAGTTACCTCCCACCTAGCCCACCGCTCCATAAGTTGAGTTCTCTTCAGAAGCTGCTCAGGTCTCTGCAGAAGAAGTTCAGTTTACAACTCTTGAAATTTAAGAATTAAGAGCATGATTCAGTTCTCCTTAGAGCAAGATAATAGGAAAAACAGAGGTGAAGGCCCCAACCTGTGTTGCCAAATATATATTGTTCAAATGAGGAGGCCGTAACTGAACAATTGCTCGGTAAGCACTTCGCCGCCCATCAGTACTCTGATGGGAAAATAGCCAATCACAGTTTTGTCTAAAGTGTTGTTGAAGTCTTTAAACTAGAGGAAATGCATAAAGATATAAAGAGTAGTACCCCGAAATCAAAGAAGAAGTTAGCTCGATCAACCATAAACAATTCCAAAGCACTTCTTCTCAGTAGATATCTGAAAAGTGAGAAAAAGGAGGATATCAAATGCATTATTCTATGTTCACACTTCTGATACATGGAAATGTATTTGAATAGCATGGCCAATTTGAAATCAAACAAATGATTAATTCTGAAATACATGGGGACTAGGAGGTTCTTGAATACATGCAGTCTAGGGAAGTTTGACGCCTTTTTCACCTTTCTAAAAACACCAAGGATAAGCATTATTCATTAAAGGTTTGGCATCTACTTATAAATACACCGAACCAATCTCATCAAGAAACAATTTCAAAGGTTGATATGGTGCATCGTCGCACTGAGCATTCCCTCCAATGCCAACTTATTCAGAGAAATAGAGGCTCAACACCTTTCGAGTCCACAAACAATATTGCTAACATCAATCGAACTCCCATCACCAAAAAGACTTCCCAAATCCATGCTACGGCATCAGTTTTCTTAAACTTGCATCGACATCAAGGTGCTATCAGGAACTTCATTCAAAGTCCACGAGAGTCATCTTAAAGTTATTTTAGACCGCTGGCATGAATTGACCACCTACTTGGAGTTCAGTCCCATATCTAATTAGCAACTCTAGTCAATGAAAGATGAATGATACTTTTGACTTCTAAAACCGAGATACATAACAGAATGTGAGGTACACATGTTTTTTTTTTTTTCTAAATAAGGAACCAAGAAAAGAAGCTTGAAATATGGAGGTAAGGGAAATTATATGCCCACTTTACCTTCGACTATAAATCTGATGCAGGGAGGACATTGCCCAACTGTAATTCTTTTCCTGATATACCACTTCAGAGGATTCTGTTCCCCCTATGGTATTCCCCTCGGTGCCATCAACAATAAAGTTCATTCTCCTGCTTGTTACCTGATATATCACCCAAAACGAAACATGCTCATAGAATATATTTATAAGAGGCTCCTCGAAGATAAAGGCAGCACGGAGTAAGAGGATATTTATAAGGAAAGGATCATCTGAACAGAAAGGAAATAAGGAATTAGGACTGAGCACTTACTTGAAAGGTTCCTCGTATGACCCTAAGTGGCCGGACCATTGATGAAGGAAGCTCAATAATAATTCTTTCATCGAGCTCACTAGGGACATATCCTAGTGCAACTCCTGATGTTCTATCAAACTCCTGAACATTTGCAAGTTGCCTTTCAAAGGATTCCAACGGCTGCTGTGCATTTTGATCAGTTGTCCCAGAAATTCGGGACAGGTTATCTTCACTGCTTCGTGTATCATCAGCTGCATCTAAATTTCCAATCTCTGCATGTTCATCATCTTCCTTTAGACCTTCCATCGATATTGCTTCAGCTGCGAGCACAGGAACATTTTCTTCGCTGTGTCTCATCTTAACCTCATCCTCATAGTTAGCAGCAGCACCAAAATGATCAGATCCTTTATAATTTCTCCTCAAACATCTTCTCATCCTTGAGGAGCTCTCCATGAGGTCAAGCTTCCAAAAGACCTGCAGGTCTCAAACAATGGTTAGAAAGTCAGCTCCTCTATAATTCGTGTAAACAATTATGAGGAGAATGTGAGACACTTTATTATAACATAATCTAAGGAGTGAATAAATTGGCACGATCCGATATATCTTTATGTGTAAATCTTCAGGAGGTCAATATATAAAAAAAAAAATCATTAGAAGTGACACAATATATTTCCAATTGTATTAAGTCTAAATCTCTTTGGTATTTCAAAACAGCATTGCCACAGTGATGTAGACCTATAAGGCATGCCACAAATACCACTATCAATGAGTAACTTTGAAATAGTTTCACTACCAATAAATTATTTGCCTCACGTATAGAATATAAAAAGTTCACCACACAATCCCTCATATATGATATACGGTTCTAAGAAAATAAGATAGTTCAAAAACCTACACGTTCAGGATAATGAAAATGTGATCCAAATGGTCCAAAAAGGCTCTTTATCTCCATCAAGTAATGTATGAGCTTTTTCCATGCACGATTTCCCCTGACAAGGCGATGCCGAGCTACAACATCAACTTGAGCTCGCCGGTCAACCTAGACAAAAGGAAAAAGTCAAATCACGGACTCTGGTTTATTGATTTCGCCAAATAAGAGAGTGAGAGACTAGCACTATATAAACCTCTAATCTTTGCATGTTCCTGGCCAGAGCAAAACTGGCAACAAGTACTGCAATAAACTTATAGGACAGAGCGTTAAAATCTTTTCCATAGACCGATCTTGTGTCAACTGGCTGCAGGCACTCCAGCCACGCAACTCCCATGGCTTCCGAAATAGTCCATCTGGTTACACGCTCTCTGTCACTGGCACCCCTCCGTTGAGCAGATGTGGCCATTGCAACAGCACTTAGGCCTCTTCCAGAGCCAATCTTAGCATTTCGTTCAAGATCACGTGCAGCCGCAAGTGCAGCAGCTTTGGCAGCCGCCTTGTCCTTTGGGAGGCCTGGAGTTTTGTTAGTTCCTTCAAGTGGCTTCTGAAAGCTTGAAAAGGTATGGAGCTTAGCTGCTTTTCTCTCAAGCAATGACGAGTCACGCCTAAGATGATGCGACGTTGCTTGGGGAGCAGCAGTTTCTGCACCGGAAGCACCGGCAGCAATCATAGCCAATGCCATTGCAGCTGGAGGTGATGCAAAAGCAGCTGCCCATTCTGGAGATATCATTTTGAGGGCAGCCTGGAACAAGGTGATAATACATTAGAAACAGTGCAAGGAAACACAAATATAGGAGTCCCAAGCAAGTAAGATGCACAACAAACAAATTAGTCAAACTCTTCAGAATTCACTATGTAAGCATCTATTACAAATCAATGCAGGCCACTACATTCATGTACAATAAGATATGGGCTATGATACTTCGAGCTCAGACTCCAGAAATAAGCAGAGAGCAACACAAAGTTTAGAAAGAACAGTTCCATGCCAAACATCCCAGGTATCTAAAATAAAGGATATAATGCAGATAATAAAAGTGCCTCCAGTTTCATCCAGCACAAGACACAATTAGGTCTCTATATATCTGAGCATCTGAGTAAATATGTCTAGCTCGTATTTAAGGAGGATCGGAATAATGGATGGACAATGGTGAATAACCTCAACAGGGAGTGCATCAGCAGCTAATGCAGGATCATCAACAGCAAGAGGATTTAAACCATCAGCAGTAGCAAGATCATGAATGCCAGCTAGAATTGGGCGCCACCTCCGCAGCACAGCAACGAAAGGTGGCAAAATGGCCTCAAGGAACATTTTACGAAGAGGTTTTTTGTCTCTCCCGACTGCATGCCATACCTGTTATGTGCATGACTTGTTAAGCCAGATTCAAAAGCATAAAGAACTCCATAGATGTCAGAGAAAAATGTCAACTTCTCAACGCACCCACAAAATAGCTTAGGATCTTATCAGCATTCCCCAAAAACAGAACAATTTTGAGAAACATATTACTTGAAATATAAAAAATAATGAAACATTCTTATGCTGACCTCAGAATATAGAACACAGGATGCCACCAATACTCTCTGCCTCTTTGAGTCTGAAATTGGCATGTTCAAGACAGGTGAAAGAACACTGTAGAAAGGCAATGTTATTAGTGCAACCAATATCCCATAACACAAACAAAGAAGCAAAAAGACAAGAACACCCGCCCTTTCTAGCAACAGAGTCAGTTTGTAAGCTAGAGAAGGTATAGAAAATACACAACTATCTATACAGGGAAATAACAATTCATTGGAAGGTCAAGTACAAGAGATTACATGATAAAGATGGATAAAGATTCAACCAGGAAAATCAAAACAATACTATGCCACCACATTACGCTCTTTCCTTTTTCTTTTCTTTTTGTTTCCGACAGAAACTGCTATCCTAACCATGACATGGAGGCTACCCTCGAATCAACCAAACAAATACACAAGGTGTATATATTAAGATACCAAATCAATGTCCTTTAGTCTTTATATTGTTTTTTCCTAGGTGAAAATGTTTCAATATTTATTCTACTAAATACCCTAATCATGCATGTGTTACAGTGAAGTCAGCCTTGGACAAATCAGATTCCCCAACATGTGAACTACAAATCAGTTTAATAACACTTGAGCCTAGTAGGAAGCTAGGATTCAAATTAGCCAGCTATTGAAATTAGCAAAGCGTTCAAGTACCTCCACAACAAAGCTGAACGTGGTTGCCTTGTTGCTTGGGAACTTGCTTCCGAGAAACCAGTATCACTTGCTTGTCGGCGAAATTCTTCGGAGCTTCCACTCTCCATGCTGACATTCCTCAAGAACATACTTGACTCTCCATTATCTTCCTCCCTCATTGATAGAAGTACCATTCGTAGCATGCACAAGAATGGTTGGTCACTGTCCAATAACTGGTATAAAGCAGCCATTCCACCCATGCCAGTGCCAGATCCTCCACCTATACCCAGTCCACCACCAAGACCAGACTCATCTAACAACAAAGCTTGAAGCATGTGGACGGACTTTTTCACCAACGGGAGCTCAATCCAATTTCCATTTGCATCCATTTCCAAACCAGAACCCCAAGATTCCCAGCCACTGCCACCACCACCAAAGACAGCTGTTTTTGAAGGAAAACCAACACCATACCATAATCTGCTTCTATATTTCCAACCCTCAGCCAAGTCCTTCGTACAGCTCCCATAAGATACAAACGCACAAGCAACAGATTCGTAAGGCTCAGCTGCTGCTGCCGCTGTAAGGCGTTCCATTACAGAAGCAGAAATTTGCCCATTTGCATCAGCCATTGAAGCAAGTACCTTATGTAAGAAAATTGTTAGTACATAACATAAGAAAATTCAGTGTTCGATAATAGACAGAAATCATCATGAGAAGGTTCTCCATATTCCCAGAAGCTCTGAACAGTTCGAATGAAAAGCATGTTAAGTGGAGCTATAAAGAATAGAATAGTCCAGGTAAGATGCTCAACTTTGGGGGAAGTTCTCAAATATTGCAAATGAAAAGCATTCAAGCAGATCTTATATGTCTGGTCTATGTTTTATTAAGGTTGAGCTGATAAGTCTTGTATTTAAACTTTTGTAGTTTTAATCAAGGGAATGCAGCCTCTGAAGCTACAAGTTGAACGAACTTATCACTAGGCAAGACAAGTGTACATACATCAAGTGGCAATCCCCCAGATTCACTAGATCTGCGATCAGCGAGACCATCCAACGGATTTGTACCAGAACTTGACCGATGATGCAATGGTGATACGAGAGTAAGGGGAGATGGAGAACAATCAGTACGAGATGAGCAAGATAACTTGCTCTGAAAACGCAAATGATCTTCCACAAGCATTAGAACCACTATAGAGTTTTCAACCAATGCCACGGAAAGTTGAGCGGCAATCTCAGCTTCTGCCTTAGCCTCTTCTGGTGATAAACCCCCAGCTGCAACACCAGCAGCTGCTGCAGCAATTATCTGAGTCTGCAACAAGAGAAGCTCATTTTAGATCTGGATGAAACAGATATCTGCTTAATTTGCAAAACTAAAGGGTACCTGAGCCTGTAGTTCCCTAGCAGCAAAGTCCAGTAAACCACCCAAGAGCTTTCTCTTGAATATAGGTAGTGATTCTTCCCGTCTTCAAACCATAGAGAAAATGAAGAATGAATTTGCAATTTCTAGGTTAATCTAGCAAGGAAAAGCAAATGCACCAGTAGTAAAACGAAACTTCTCATGTCATTAAATTATCCACCAATCAAAAAGAGCAATCTTCCATATTCATAGAGAAACTCACAGGCATCTGTCCTTCCAGTTAAGCATGCCATTCAAAATTCTAATATTTATTCCTTCATGCAAAGGAGTTTGACTAAAACCATTGTGAAGTTGTACAGCCCATCAATTTAGGGGCAGAAAAAGACCAGTTAATTTCAAATTTCAAACATCCTGTCTTAGGCATTAGGACGAAGCTTTGATCTGCTTTTCAGGGGGCATTCGTTCCTTCAGAACTACTAAGAAGCTTGTCAATATGAAGTGATAATACCTGGCTCGTTGGTCTCCTGTGCTAGATCCTCCCACAATACAAAGCCACTCTGCACAATGAATTGTAGCTTCAATATCCTGTAAAACGGAAGTAATGAGAAACGAAATTGATGTTACTATGATATAGAAAACATATAGTGATTAAGAGCTCACAAGAATGCAAGACTGGACAAATTACTTGTTCAGAGTGAATGATGCGAAATCTGAAAATGGGTTTATCAAGTCTAAAACAAAGCTTTGAGAAGCAACCCTGAATCCCTCAAACCAAGCAGGCCAGGAAAGCACTCTCTGTGACCATGAACATGTCTGTCTAGCTTTCAACCTCTAGCAGGGATAGGGGACTTCAAAAAAGAATTTCAGCAATTATCCAGCCCAAATCCGATGAACGTTATGCATTATGGTTCAATTGGCTAACAGGTAAAGCAAGGAACCAAACAGATAATCCCATGTCAGCACACTAATTTTCCCCAAAACAGTTGCACTGAATTTGAAGGCATCAAACACCTAAATAGAAAAGACAATAACTTAATTGTTATGCTCAATAGGTCAGAAGATCTAAGATCTTCCAAATTCACAGGGACGGAACACCTGTCGAGGTTTTCCAAAGAGGAATTTGCTTCCCCGGAAAAAATAATTCTCCAACAGACATCTTACTGTGCAAGGATGATTCCATACAACACAAAGACAATGAACAACAAGCAAGCCCCTACGAACCCTGGGTATGAGGAAGATAAAACTGGGTTAATTGACGTGACAAAAAACTGCTGATCATCTTAGATCAATATATACACAAACTACCAATTGACCTAGCAACAGGTAATCAACTCACATCAATCTATACACTGAATAGTGTTAATCATTCCAAGTAAATTGCATTCTGAGAGAAGTTATTCATTTAATTCCGTGAAATAGATAAGTCACCTTCCAACCATCCTTCTGTCGCATAGAGTGTTCCAGCATTATACTCAAGAAGTTATGAATAAGGTCCTCAACATCCCCCGAGCCTGTCACAGTGGAAGCTCTGTTTTCAACCCTCTGCACGCATTAACACTACTGATTAAATTATCCAGACAAATGGACCACAAGTATCCTCCGTAGAAGATGTAAACCAATTTTAAAATAAAAAGCGAACCAACAAATAACACAGAGAAAATCAATTTCAGAACTAACTGAGACAACACCTCATAATTAGAAATTAAAATTTCCAATATCCACTCAGGCCATTCCTCCATTATTGTTATGCTGCTTCTATTTTCTGGATGAGTGCAAGCCAAAAACAGAAGATCCTGAAATCATATAGCAAGAGCAGCTCAGAAAACAAAACAGAGCATATTGCAAAAGAAAATTTACAAAAAATAAGAAAAGAAAGCAGGATAAATATTTAAAATACTAAAACTATAACCCCTTTCTAGGGGTGAAATGAATGAATACTAGCACCTGCTGAACCTCAACACAGAAAAGGTAATTTATTATTGTTTTTTATAAGTTCATCACAGAACAGGAATGATCAATATCGCTTCTCAATTTCACCTTGTTTTCATAGTAAAAGATTTGACGGTCAATTTTCAATGTATTTGGCTCGGAAAGGTCAACATCAGATACAACAAAGTCTATGATCCATGGCTAAAAGACAGGTCGAATTTCCATTCCACATTACAGACAAGCACTTGGCTCAGAAACCATGACTCTGTTTAGAAGAGGTCTACTTTTATTTTATAACGTCTTGTACTCAAGCTCATCTCTTACTAGAGCTAAAATTTGGTATATTCCGACACTGCTTCTAAACATTACGATAACTGTAACTCCTTCCACTAAAATTTTAGCCCTGCCAGCACAAAGAATTGAGGCAGTTAAACTTATTTTCTTATACTTAAGGCAACAACATAAACAAGCCCAGTTTGAACTGGATGGATTTCCTGATAAATAAATCACAAATTCACTGAACCGCAGATATGGGATACCTGCAACGCTCGATCTTGAAAGGCCCAAGATGCATATGGCAGCGAACGAAGAAGAACCAAGAGAATTTGCAAATGCTCAAAGCGATGTTCAGAATCATAGAAGTTTAATCCATCCTCTGCTGAAGATATGTTAATCTGCAAACAAAAATCATTTTAATTCAGTTTTTTCCTATCGCCCAAATTTGGATACTGCAAAATCATGTAACGTCATTTTAAGCAGGGAGTCTAAAAACTTAATGCATAGCAGCCAACGCAGTAGGTCATTGTTTAGGTTTACACAGCAATACAACAGAAACCCTAAACCCAAGTAAACCATGTTGAGAGATGAAGAGAAAATACCGAGGCTCCCAATAGAGCTGTGTACACATTTGTAGTCATAAGCCTATTCGGTGCAGCTTGGAATGTCTTCTGCAGAGCAAAAAGTAGAAGAGAAACTTTATCGTCAAACATTGTACCACCTCCATCTTGCAGCAATCCTCCCAGAAAGTTGCTTGTTAAGTCAAGGGGTGCATTTGGTCCAATTTTCAAATGTCCAGATCTCACTAGAGCACCTAATAGCTCAATGATTGCAACAATCACCCCATCACTTTTGTCAATGTTGTAGACATTATTCCTTGCGTTATCTGCACTAATCGAAAGGCTTATACCACCCAAATTCTTCAAATTGGGAGCTTCAGAAACAGAAGACACCCGTTCAATCTTCAATCCAGATGGAGATGTAGTCGGGCCACCTGCCCCAATAGATGACCCGGGTTCAAGAAGTTTCTCTTCTGAAGTTGAGTTATTTTTGTTCAAAATTTCTCCTTCATCATTCTGATTTACATCCAACGCCACCACATCAGTCTCTGGTTTAGTTTCTTGAACCTGACTCTTTTCAATTGATTCTGGAAAGCTATTATCACCAACTTTGGCCTCCCTCTGCAGCAAAACAAGAAGAGTTTCTATGCCTCCACATTTCATGAATGCCTCGGCGAACATGTTAGCTCTAACTGCATTTGGCTGTACAACCAGACGATAGATGAGATGCAACACCCTGGCAAGCTGGAAAAAGATTATCAGTATTTAGTAGTCAGTTTTGAGATCAGGAAAAAAGTGGCAAAGTCAGAATCAGCATATACCAAGACAGCAAGTATTACATGATTTGCAATGCAATTTAGTTCCAGCAGTATCAAGAAGAAAAACTTTCAAATTGAAAAAGATAAATTCAGTACTAATCCAACCCATCGGCAAATTAAATATAGGAAAAGGAGAATCAGCCTCCAATCTATATAACTTCGCAAGCTATTGATTAACATTAACAAGTTAAAATTATCCAGTAAGCCTTATGAGCATACAACATTGCCAGTATGGCTGCAACCAACATTCTTAACACTATCATTACCTGATTGGGTTGAGGGCAATCTACAACGAACCCAAGCAGACATTGGACATCAGTTGAAGACATTGAAGAAGAAGCTCCTCCTATAAGAAGTTCGATAACTACCAAGAGCTCGTCAACCAAAGCATTTACTTCACCTATTGGACGAGCTGCCTCATCCAACGAAAAGGTATTCACAGACCCCTTCTCGCGAACTGTCCAATAACATCTTCTACAGCCATCAAGAAGCATCTGAATGGCATTGGCCTCTCTCATGACCAACGACTCTGAGAAAACCATGTCAGCTAGGGATGAAAGGAGTTTTTTTTGCAGTCCATAGTTGCATAAGCTCCAAATTTTCAGATCCAATAATAGAGTACTAAATAGCTGCACCTTCAGGACATGATTAGTCTTTTGTGATTGGCACAAGGAAACAACAGCAGCAACAAGTTCCTCGTCTTCAGCGCCAGTATGCTTTTCCCGATCTAATGAAGACAATGTTTGCAGAAGATAATATAAAATCTTCGTAAGAAGTTCCGGGCCCCTGGTACGACACAGCTCTTCATTATTTGCAGGATGCTGAAGAGCAATAGAAATCATTCGAAATACTGGAGCAGCAAGAGCACCAGTTGCCAATGATGAAGAAAGATCCCCTTGTTCAGGTTCCAGGCTGTCTTTATGAACATTGCTCACCACCAGAGGAAGTAAAGATATGGGGCCTCCATAAGCCAAAGCCCACAAAGCTTCCACTGGCTTCATTCTTGTGGCGACGTGAACTTGACCGAGTATCTCAGCTGGTCTCCGGAGTATGCCTGAATAATCTCAGAAAGACACAGAATCAGATCAACATGGGATATCTACATGCTACTGACTTATTCAGCCCACTGCAGAAAGTAAGTCCTACGAACTCGATATACAAAAGGACACATTAAGGAAAACTCCAGTGATGTGCCACTTTGATGGAAGTTTAAGTCAATATATTATATTACCATGTGCCATGATACACAATTGATAAATGAGGTAGTTTGAAGAAACAAAGCAACTACCAGGAAGAATGTGAAGCCGGAAGGTGGTGATACAAAGATTATGATAGCAGTATGCATCTAACATATGAAATAGAGATTATGAAAAGAATTCCAATATATGTACAAGAGAATGCTGATGCAATAACACCAGATCTATTCATAAAAATAAAATCAAATAAAATAAAATAAAACAGATCTCAAGAATAAATTTTAAATTAAGTATTAATAGGCAGGAACTCCTGAAACTTGGTAATTAAATGCCAAGTCCAGTATAATAATATATGTATTACTTGCACTTGTTTCATTACAGACATGAAACAAAGCTTGTGAAAAGAGTTCCAAAACATTAACAAGGGAATGAAGATGCAATATCAGAAGATGTAAACCCCTATTATAAAATCATCAAATATTAATAGATAAGAACTCCACGCATATGGTAACTGGATGCAAGTTCGCCATGGAAATATGATATAAAAAAAAATATATATATATGAAATATCAATTGCTTGTAAAGTATGATGTGAATTCAGTCATCTAGCCATATCAACACACCAGAAAATGGGTAACTCATGCACACACCTGCAGCACCAGAAGGAGAAGCATCTGGACAGAAACGGCCACTAAGAGAACTGGGATGGTAAAGAAGGTGGATGAACCCTCCAATCTCAGCATCCAAAACTGAACTTTCTTCTGCCTTGGCACGAACATGATCATTTGTTGCCAGCCAAGGGACACCGGCACCATTACCAAAGGTAGGTAGAACATCCCCTCCTCTTAAAGCCAAACGTGACATCCGTTCAGGACCAATGGGTTCTTTGAAGATATAAACAGGGCCCATCTCAGCAAACAGTGGGCACTGCCGACGACGACGTTGCAAGCCAGCCATTGTAGGAGGCGGGTTTGTGCCAATGCAGCAAAAAGCTAGAGGTTTGGTGATCCTTGGAAACTCAAAAGGACGACTTTCATACAGGGATCCGTCAATGTAAAGTCTTAATTCGCTCTCTGCTTTACCAATGAGACCTTGCTTGCAGATATGCTCCAACCCAATAAAATACCAGCATTGTGGCTTGAATGCATGAGTAAAATGCAAGGATGCCTTCTTTCCCTTCCCGCTACCGCTTTCAACAACCAAAAACTGTGCGTGGAAGTATGCCTCTATCCCTTGGTTATCCGCAGACAAGAAACTGAACAATCGTGGCATATGGGCAGTGCCTTCACCAGCAAGTGCACTGGCTGCAGCTGCAGCCGACATAGCAGATGACTTCCCTGTTGTAGCTGCTGCAGCTGCTGCAATTGCAGCAGCTGCAGTAGCTGTGTTTAAGGTATCAGCAAATGATTCAATGTAAATCCATGTACCAAATGCATACCCATTAGCAAACGGCCAACGACTCTCCCCTGGTCCAAGCAAACCGGAGCTTTCACCATCAAACTCAAAAGTGCATGCTGGTCCCTTGGATTCCTTTCCATCCATTGCCTTTTCCAACGCACCCATCAAGCGAGGTGCCCATTCAGTTGCAGTTGTTCTGGTAATCACCTGAAGCCATCTGTGTAGATCAATTACTTGCAAAGAATGTCCAGCTAAGTACTCAATGCAGCTACATAATGGTGTTGCTTCCCACTTTATCTCTTCTTTCGAATTAGCATCTTGGACAAATATCTTTTCAGCAGACCCCAGAAGAACCCCTAGCAATCCAGCGATGGAGCACATTGCTCTGTTTCTCGTGCAGGCCCGTAATATAGCAAGCAACCCCCTTATCATCTTTGTTCTTGGAGACATGTAGATATCAGTATCACCTATCCAAGGTAACCAAGGAATAAGCTCACCTGCCACAATGGCAGCTCGAGAGTTCAGCATAACACTTGGAGGGTTATTATCCTCATCCTCAAAACTTTCAACTCCTCCCATTGTTGCAAGAAGGGAATCAACAATTGAGAAAGCTATGTTTTCTGCATCCTCAGCACTCCCAAACCTCTCAGCTCCACTAACTATTTTCATCAGTTTTTCCAAGCTTTCTAACTTGCCCATAATAGCGGAGTCAACCAAGTGCAACAACTCTGGAGAAACATTTGGCATGGCAGCTTTTGGCTTAGCCTTCTGAGGTGAGAATCCAACATCACCATAGAAAGAAGAGTCTATACTAGTTGGTGAATACGACTGGTCGGCAGCATAACCGAACTGAGCGTCTGGAGAAGGGCTTGATAAAGAACGATCCTGCGGAAACTCGGTTATTGGAAAATAATCATGCTCGGACCCTGGACTCTTGGTAAAACTTTCAGAGGCTTCCTCAAATCTGCTGGAGGAGTGTCTACCATTCTCAATATTTGAGAACTGATTTGAATCATCATCATTGCCAGCTGTAAACTCAAAGGCAGCCTTTCCTTGATCTCTCAAAGAAACCTGTTCAAACTGTTCTTCATTCATAGCTCCAGCTGCAGAATCTGCCCGTTCCAATACAAGATTGTTATTCCCCGGACCAACTTGGTTGTCCCCAGAATGACTGATATTATTTTCACTTGATGTGGCTATATTATTTACTTCAGCACTATCTTCTCTGTGGATGTCCAAATCCCCTCCCGAAATCTCTATTATCTCGATCTTCTCTTCTTCTTCTTCCATTATGCAAGAATTTCCACGAGAGCTAAGAGATTCTCAACCAAGCAATGTACTAACTTACCAACATCAAAGTTCCAGCAAATTCAATCTGAACGAGAAGGAATAGTAGAACTGCAAAAACAAAACGGAGATAGATTGAGATGTCATATAGCTCCAAAGAAACCAAGTATTAATGGAAAGTAGACATGACAGTAGTTCAAACTTCTCAAGTGACCAAGTACATTAAAACTTAAGAAGGCAACCGAGCATATGCAAACTCAACTTCAAAAACTAAATCCGGCACTCATTAAATCATTCAGAACCGACTTTCTTTTGACCATGTTTTCTCTCACAGTAACAGAACCAGTACCCAGAAGAATTCTGCAGATCTAGCTCCTAAGACCTCCATGACAATGCCATCATAGAGACTATATCCGTTAAGAGAGAAGGCACAAAGACCACACTCCAAACCGCAATCGAGCGGTGATCACCCTGATGATCAATGCCACTATTGATCACAGTTCGCAACACCGGTAACAAACCCATACCTATGGGGGCAACATTGGAAACTGACAATGCGCATCGAAACATTAAAGATATGAAAGAGAAGTTGATGTGGAAAGAATGCCAGTAAGTGCAGATCAGAGTCAGAATCGCCATCAACTAAATCGTAGAGAACATTAAGAAGACGGGAGAATCCTACCTCCGATTATCGATCAGTTCAGGTGAATCTCCAGGTACCTCTGAGTACGGTAGTTAAATTCCAGATAAAATTTTGAATATAGATGAAGAGAAGGACAAGGGGAATCGGAGGAGACGGACGAGAATGAGAGAGGAGGATTTGGGTGCGCGAGAGATTGAAAGGATTCTCGACTCTCAGTCTGGACTCTGATGTGGTTTTGCCCAATCAAGTGGAAAAATGGGAAAATGAAATTTGATTAAACGGAATGAATGCTAGATTATTCGGTGGTAGGCCTCCCGGTTGAATCTAATTTAACCGGTGATTTGGTTATGAAATCTGATGGATTATCTAGTGAGGGTTAGGTTGCTAATATATTTTTTTGTTAGTACGGTGGTAAAGTTAAATTCAGCCAATCACAATATTTCGTTTGCATGATTTTTTCATTTAAATGAGTTGATCATAATTAACGATGAGAGGTGAAAGAGAAACATGCTTAGTATTACGAAAAACTAGCGTGGGCCCCGGCCATTTGGCCGGAGGAATATGAGGTATGAAATTTCTTAATGTAATGTGATGTATAATTTATTGTTGTATAGTTTTTTTTGGGAAACACGTGATAAAAATAGTGAATTTTAGTAGGAAAGAGACATGAATGATGCAACGAATCAAAAATCAGCCTTATGAACAAAATCAAGTACATGTTACCTTGTGAAACAATATTGTTTCTAGTAATATGATGAGGTGGAGTAAGTTTTATAGAAACCAAATTCCAAAAAATCGAATAAAAAATCAGCCTTATGAACCAAAATCAAGTACCTGTTACCTTGTGAAACAATATTGTTTATGGTAAAACTCTTTTATTTTATAATTAGCGGTTAGCCCATTAGAATCCATGCATTAGTTTATTGTTAAATTTTTTTCTTTTTAGCAATAAAAATGAGTATTATTTTTGCCTTTTCATATATATTTTACCACCACGGAGAAATAAAATGACTTAAAGAAAAAAAATTGACACTCCTTGACCCGTTAAATCCGCATGTGTACGATAAGTTGGCCCGTTCCACAGAGGAAAAAGAAAAAACTTGACACTCCCTATTCTACCCTTCCTACAAACGCTCTTGGAGCAGGGGATTTCAAATGGGGGAAGGGTTTTTTCCTCTCTACGATTATTTGTTTTTAATTTAAAAAGATACAACAAATGTACTTAGTGTGATTGGTTATGATTTTTGCTTTTCTTTAAAGTGGTCATGGTTCGAATCCTAGTAAGTGTCTTTTTAATGAATAAAAAAAAGTAATTGTGAAGACCAAAATGTCCTTCCTACCTTCACTCTGGATGCAGGAAATTTGAAATGAGGCTTCAAATTTTCTCATTTGGCTTTTATTTATTGTGTAGATAGATTGGGATGAGGAGGAAGGAAGAAAGGGGGACCACGAATCATGTCACAACCTTCTCCAAGCATGCCAAAACCACAAAGCATACTACAACCTTCTCAAGTATGCCACACGTCCATAAAGCAGTGATGGCAATGGGCGGGGCGGGTACCTCAATACACATGCCCCAGCCCACTCTTACATGTTATTTAAAAAAAACACACGCAAATTTTACATTTTACGATAAAACGAAGCGGGAAACACTTTATGAATGAAAAATAGTGGAATAGAATGGGTAATTGAGTCTAACTAATTGAAAAATTGACTCTAACTAGTTGAAGAATAGTCAAAATAGGAGAAATATGTATATATATTGTAAAAAATTGAGATAGAATAGGCCAAGAACGGGGCAGGGCGGGTCAGAAGTAGGTACACATGCCCCCCACGCTACTAAGGGGCGGGTAATACCCACGGGGCGGGTTCAAATTGCCATCACTACCATAAAGCATGCTACAAGTTTATAAAGCATGCCAAAAGTAGTGGACATGTTTGTAAATTTGAAAAAAGTTAAGTACTAAAATGTAAGGGAAAAAATTTCAGGTACTCAAATATAATTTTCCATCGATATTTTTTGTACCAGAATGTACAAATAAAGTTAGTAACTAAATATTAATACATATTAAGTTCAGGTATCAAAACTATAATTTGTAAATGAAACATGGGAAAGTCACGTGATTGGAAGTAGGGATGACAATTTGAACCCGTCCCGCCGGGTATTACCCGACCTGACCCGCGATGGGCGTTTCACGGTTGCTAAAGTTACTGACGACAAGGCAGTTCACGGTCTCTAAGACCGTAAACCCAAGACAGTGAAGCTGTGCGTTTTGGACGACGCTGAGTTCACGGCCGTGAATTGGGTAACGCGTCCGTGAACTGGTCACTCTCAGGCAAATATGAAGACAGTAGCGGGAAGAGAGAAAGGAGAGCTGGTTTTTGGAGAAGAAACACTTTCTTTCTCTAAGGTTTCAACCTAAACACCAAAGGGGAGTTCTAGTGAGAGAGAGAGAGTGCTAGAGTGATCTTGGAGCATCATTGGAGGCTTGGGTGGAAGATTCAAGCCTAGAAGAAGAAGAAGAAGAAGATCTTGAGCTCAAATTTGTAATCCCCCCCCCCCCTCTCTAGAAACTCACTCTTTTCTCTTGGGTGGTGTAGATCCCTAACTAATACTTTGTAATTACTTGTTTAGATTGAATGATTAAGTGTGGGTTTGCATCAATTTAAGTATTTGAGGTGTTTTTATGGTGATTGTGCATGCACGTGCTTAGCAATCTAAGGGTTGTGCATGTTTTGTGCTTAGCATCCTTAGGTTTGTGCATTTTAGTGCTTAGCAACCTAAGGATTGTGAATAATTGTGCTTAGCATCCTTAGGTTTGTGCATGTTGGTGCTAGCAATCTAATTAGCCACCTTAGCCTAGCTTAGAGAGGAAATCCCCCTTTCGAGGGAGACTCAATCGAGTTGGTTTTCCTTCCGCTTTCTAAGCCACCTAAACTAGGTTAAGTTAGGGCAACCCTCAATATTGAGTTAAGCAAATCGGTTAATCGTTATCAAGCCGTCCGACCTTAGAGTTGAGTGAGGGAGTAAGTCAACTACCGATTGTCTAAACTGAGAGGGTAGAGTGACACGACCTTTCATGTTTACCTCGGTCTAGCAATTGAGATTGTGGTCTCTGACCATATATGCATCCCTCTGCGGTTCACGATTACCAGTTTGCATCTAGGTTGGTTGTGATTAAGCCGCTCAAACTCCGGTTTGAGAGAGAGACCTAGGCAGCCACTAGTGACTGAGTGAGAAGATCGATCCCTCTTGGTGCGGAACCCATATCCCAACTCTGCTTGCGGCACGTCCACGGCGTCGGTGACGACAACTAGAACTAAAAGAAGTTATTTTTTATTATTATTTTTAATAGTCAACTATAAGAGTTGACTGCCAAATAAACAAAAGTTAGCGGAGTTGGACGGAGAGTGACCAAAGTTGAAACATTTAACCAATTTTAGTGACCACGAATGGAATTAAATATTTTTAGTAATCCCAGTGACCAACCTTGACATTTATCCAATCTAAAAGAAAGCAGTAAGTTGTTCGAAGTGCTTAAGCAAGGGAAAAGTCACTCGGGATTGAGTCCCCCTAGCTCCTTAGTTAGGTCCAAGTTGTAATTTCCCTTGGTTGATTTATTGTTGATTAAACTGCATGAGATCCGACAGTAGCTTCGTATCTTTTAAGCTGCCCAAGCCCTCTCAGAGAGACTACCCGGTAGACAACTAGTCTTCAGCGTGATAGAACGCTAAGGCAATTAACACAGAACTTCACTACTGGAAACAGATTCCACTACAATGAATTGATTGACTCTCGTACAATCAATTCACTCCTATCGATTAAAGAAGATCTAACAACCTAATCATATTCTATCTATCTCAGGTTGCAGCAGAAATCAAAAGAAGTTGATCAGGATTCAATTGATTCAGTAAACACACTTCATTCGATTATAATCAAATAGTATATCAATCCAAAAGTCATTACAATCATGATCCCTAACACATAAAACTAGGGTTCTTCATACCCAAGTGAGAGAAAGTTCTACTCCATAGAGAAAGAGTAAAAAACAACAATCAGAGGAATCATACCCATAATGATGTGTACGATAAGCTCTGAGATGAAAATCTTCACTCCAAGAATTGATCCTAGGGTTTGTTCTTCTCCCTTTCTCTCTCTAGAACTCTGTTTTTGCTCTGAAAATTTGATTCTTCTCTCAAAGACCGAAATTGGGTTAAAACCCAGCTATGCCCGATTACACGTCTAGGCCACATGGCCGTGTAGATTCCAGTCTGCCCATGTAACTCCCAAAATGCGGCGTTGCACTTAGTTGGTCGAAAGAAGGCACACGGCCATCACACGACTATGTAGAATTAAGCCTTGCCCGTGTAGACCCCCTGGATATCCTGTACGGCCCAAGTGTGCCCTTGCACAACCAGTACGGCCGTGGCCGCGTAAAAATTAGATACACGGCCACACTGCACGACCGCGTAGAATCAGTCTTGCCCGCGCACGGCCAGGACTGCACGGCCGCGTGGAAACTTTAGCTTTTCGTCAAACGTGCCAACTTCGTCCAATCGACCCCGAACTTGTGCCCAAGCCTTCATTCACGTACTAGGACCTGAAATATCACAAACAAGAACAACCTAGCATGAAATCGGTTTAAAACACCAAAAATGAGGCTCAAACAGTATAAGAATGGTGGACAGAAACGTGTGCAAATATCGAGCTATCCAATTCCCCTACTTAACCGTTTGCTTTTCCCCGAACAAACCTGACTCAAACCAATGCAGCTCTCCAGACCTACATGCAACCCCGATCTTTGGTAGAGGATTTCCTAGATCATTTAGCAACTTATGAGGTCAAATAGTCTTCTAAGACGTCTCCTATCTCTCTCAATGCGAGTACTAGACTCAAGCCAGGATCATGAGAAGTAGTGGAACTAAGACAACCAATTCATGGATAAGGAGACTCAACAATTTAATGACCAATGACTCTTCGTATCGGGTGCTCTTTCATTTCATCTCACTTGTTGGAACCCCTTTTCCTTATTGTTTGTTTCTTTTTATTTTGTTTTACTTTGCTGGGGTTCTAACTGCAGTTTTTAAGCACGGTCGACCCTTATTGGGTGAGCAAGATCAATTTCTGTACATCTATCGCTCGCCAGAGTACTTCTTTTAACTTCTATTCCTCATTTTGTGTGGATGGTCAATGAAATTTGGGGGGGGGGGGGGGTCTGAAGCTCTATCCATGCCCTTAAAAACACAT